AGTCAAACAAGGACAAACTTGCAGTCCTTTTAGCTGAATACATAGAGCTACACCTAGTGGAGGCTTTATCTGTCAGTACCTCTCTCAGGTATTGTGACACCTGTCATGAACATCCTCTGGGTATAAACAGGAGGTATAGATGAACAACATCAACTTCAGAACAAGGCTTTCTGTATGAGTAATAATGAAGCAATGGCAATTCCCTTTCTTTTCTGTTCTCGTGCATTTTCACTACATTTGTCTTAGCTAATTACAGTTATAATAGATTAATACATATTTTTTTTTACAAATGCACATTAAGTTTCTGTTTATGCCTTTCCTAATTGTGAAAGTGCTGGTTTTTACCCAGCTAGGCTTCTAAGGATGTAGCACTTAATTCCTTTGTTGTGAAATCAGGTAATTTACTTTGATATAACTTTTAAAACTACTTTTTTGTTGTTTTATTAAGTCAAATACTCCAACTCATGACTCACCTTCATAAAAAAGCCATGTACAGCAAACAAACTGTGCAAGCCTTTTAAAATCATATAAGGTTGTGAAAATATAACAATACAGCCCACCTACAGCAACAGTGTGACTAAGACTTTATGCATGTTGGTTCAGTCAGTGCAAACATTTCTTATTATTCTGAAGTAATTGATGATTTTTTTTTTACCAAGGACAAACATGGCATGCCATACTTTCTAAGGCCACAGGGTTGAGGGCTCTTCAACATGCATGAAATTTCAGTTATTAACATTTTAAACATCTTTGCTCCAGTGACAAATTTGTTCACAGTTAACGACTTTATAAAAAAATAAATAAAACAATGAAGTAGACCCTAGGCTCAGATTGTTTTTGTAATAATACATATTTAATCTTTGTACAGAATATTTTATCACTGAATCTTTGTGCAAAATTAAGCAGCCTCTTCCTCTTGAGTTACTTGAGTTATGCTACTTACTGGGTTTAAAAAGCTGACTGTATTTCACTGTATCAAAAATAAACCAGAACTAAATGCACTGGATTCTTTTGAAAGTTTAGCTTGTATTGTTTAAAAACAAAAACGTATATATGCATTGAAAAACAACTGATATTTAGATTATATGTGGCTTAACATGTTGGTAACTTCCATTAGAGTTTAAAACTGAAATGCAGCTGACTTTACACAAAGTTAATGAAAGTATTCATCAAATGAGTAACTAGTGAAATTGTAGTCTTTTCGAGATGACACTTGAGATTTTGTTTGTGACACACAAATGATTTGACTATGCATATTTATGAGCCGAGGTGTTGAGGGGATCCGTTTTGGTGGCCTTAGGATCGCATCTCTGCTTTTTGCGGATGATGTGGTCCTGTTGGCTTCATCGGAACGAGATCTGCAGCTCTCGCTGGAACAGTTCGCGGCCGAGGGCGAAGCAGTCGTGATGAGGCTCAGTGCCTCCAAATCCGAGGCCATGGTCTTGAGCTGGAAAAGGGT